CTGCTGTTGTCAGGGCATCGCTGGGTCTGCCAAGGGGGATCAGCAATGGTGCCATCCATTCTGCCCCCCTCCCCCAAAGGGACTGCCCTTTGAGCTGCTGCTTTCTGCTGCCCAACGGCAGGACTGGCTCACCGTGACTTGATACTGCAGAGCTTCCCATCAGCTGAGGAAGGAGAAGCGCCAAAGCCGTCTACTCCCTTCTCCCCACCCCTCCGCCCCTCGGGCCCCCTTTGCTGCTGCCAGGAACCAGCGAGGCAGCTTGTGCTTGACGCGAGCAAGTGGAAATTTCCTCCCTGTCCCTTGAGCCTTGCAAAACGTTGTCGTAAAAATGTCTGTGGGATTCTATACCTTCAGCCAACAGAAAAACAACGGCTATAAACAAGGCCTCTTAATTACCCAACACATTGATAAAGCCAAGGAGAGATTACTCAACCCCTGAAGCGCAAAGGTGCCATGCTCAGAACACCTTGTCATGTTCTTGTCCCATCCCAAAGGGGATTACATACCGGCTGTGAGGGCCTAGCCCAGGCTGTGTCACAATAGCAGCGGCACAGTCCATCTCCTCGGGGCCTGCCCCTCTCGCCTCATTTTCCAGGAATCAAACGGCATCGTTTTTAGGGTCCAGAGCACGGAGGAAGAACGACAAGCCCCTTGTTTTTAGATTACTTTGGGCTGCCTGTGGCTTGAGGGTGGCATTCCTGCCATCACTCTACAGTTGGGAGAGCCATGCTGGTAGATTCCACCCCACTTCTATATTATTTAATTAACTTGTGATACATTCAATTCAATTCAATATTTAATTCATTATTTAATTCACTTGTGGGTGGAGGTTTTTAAGAAGAGACCAGACAGCCATTTGTCTGAAATGGTGAAGGGTCTCCTGCTTGAACAGGCGTCTCCAACCTTGGCAATTTTAAGCCTGGTGGACTTCAACTCCCAGAATTCCCCAGCCAGCTGGCTGGGGAATTCTGGGAGTTGAAGCCCGCCAGGCTTAAAGTTGCCAAGGTTGGAGACCCCTGGACTAGAACACCTCCAAGGTCCCTTCCAACTTTGTCATTCTGTTATTTGGTTACTTCTTTCAAACCTCTGGCTCCAAGTGAAATACTTAAGAGTGAAGCAACTGTTAGACTTTCAGGGTGAATTCTCTTTTTCAGGTTCGCCAAGGGAGGTGGGAAGTAGGCAGAAGCTCCTGAGGTTCTTCAGCCACATAGCCAGAAAGAGCTCTTTCTTGAAACCCAACGAGTGGCTCCTGTGTGATCAGGGCCTTCTACCATCTCCTCCTGATTCAATTTGGGGTGCGGGGAGGGTCCCCTGTGGACAGGACTTCCTGCTTCTGCTCCCCAAACTCATTAATTGTGTTGGACAGTCACTTACTCGCTTTCTCTGCCTTTTTGCTCTGAGAATCTCCTGCCCCTAACAGACACCAAACATTCAGTCTTTGTGGATGGTATGGAAGGGATCTTGGCTACATTTCCAACCTATTGCAATATATAAATTTTACTCTCCTGACACAGTTTACTCTCCTGAGTAAACCACAGTTATTGGTTGAATTTCCGCATAGGTTTGGCATACGTGCAACTATGCCATCTTTTAAACTCTCTCTCTAAGAGCCCCCTTCTTTCTCTTTTCCATTTATCTTGTATTCCCAACACCGTCTTGGTTTGTGGACTACCCCTTAGCAGCCACCAGTCCTGTCATTTTTTTCATCCTAAATTCCCCCGTGGGCTTCCTTTATCCTTCATGGTCTTTAGAAATGTCACTGGTATAAAAATAGAATGCAGGGTTCTCCAGAACTTTCCTTTCCTTTCCTTTCCTTTCCTTTCCTTTCCTTTCCTTTCCTTTCCTTTTTTCCTTTTTTCCTTTTTTCCTTTTTTCCTTTTTTCCTTTTCCTTTCCTTTTTTCCTTTTTTCCTTTTCCTTTCCTTTTTCAGAGTAAATTGAGATCCCAGGGGCCTATCCCACGAGAGTATGGTAAAAAAATAAAGATAACAGATGTAATAGTGCATCAGTTTATCAGCTTTCTCACCTTTGCTCCTCCAGTTCTGACTGGGGTTGATTAAGAGTTGTGTATCTTATGAACAGGAGTGCTGAAAGAGGCAGATCCTGCCTGGTGCCTTGATAGAAACGATAAGGCAAAACCCAGGACATTCGCAGTTGCAGGAGATGCTCCGCTCTGCATTGAAAAGATCCAATATTCAGCTCCCACCCTTAAAAACCTGCCCAGTTTCTGAGTCTCTGCCTGGGTACTTGGAAGTTGGGGGGGTCGGACAGCTTTATCTGTTCCCATGAAAGCCCCCACCCTTCTCCCTGAGTGGGAGGGGGTGGAATGGACATTTTGTCCTTGTTACTGCTATTTCTCATCTGTTTTGGAAAACCTTGAATTTATCCCACTATTACCTCCAAGATTTGCAGTGTGAAAATGTTAATAAAATGCTGCAGTTTTTCCCCAACTTGTCAGATGATCGGTAGCTACCAACTGACCCTCCACCTTGTAATGCTGCCTCCTTTCTCCCTCCTTAGTTGATGTAGGATGTCTATGCCGCCCCCCCCCCCCCCCCCCCCCGCAAAAGGGATTAGCTGTAGAGGAGCAGAGGGTCCTCCCCTCCCTCTGTGCAGCCAGGCATCATCTGATTGGTTAAAAAGCAGCTCCCATCATCCCCAGCCAGACAAGTGCTCAGCTGGTCTCGCTGTGAGAAGGCTGGAAGTTAGCAAAGCAAAAATGCAGGTCTTGGGCAAAGAAACAGCCAGAGAATTATCCCCTTCCCTACCAGCTGTGAACCATGATGGTGGGGGTCACGGGAGGGAGAGGGGACTCCATGCTCAAAAACATTATTGGCAGGATTTCTGCTTGGAGGTCAAAAGAGTCAAGATGGTGGCCATCAACCGAGATCAAAGCACCATTTCTTTGTGTGTGTGTGTAGCAAAGGGTGGGGCTTTGATTGTTGGGGTGGCAGCCAGCTCCTCCCCCCTCCCTGTATACATCTTTGCCAGTCAGGATTTTTTTCTTGAGGGGGAAGGAGGAAGAGAGGGAAGGAGAAAGAGAGAGAAAGAAAGAGACAGAGATAGAAAGAGAGAGATAAAGAGAGAGAGGCAAGTTAGTGATAATCCAATTCTTTCAGAATGTCCTTCTAACTCAAAATCCTGTGTAAATCTTGCTAGTTTTATGGCTGGCTGGAGGATCAGAAGTTCTGGCTCTTAAGCGTTTTTTGAAATCCTTCCTGCAAATCTAGTAAAGGGAATTCATTGCATTTATTGCTTCCAGACATTTTTAAAATTTTACTTAGTTATTCATTCAGTAGATTTATCGTCTGCCTTTCTTCCAGGAGCTTCTGGGGAAGACAGTAGCCCCCTCCCCTGCTTTCCCCCCACCACAGAACCCCTGTGAGGTTGGCTCCCCTTAGACAGCACGGATGGCACAAAGGCTCACAGTGAGCCTTGGTGGCTGAGAATAGAGGGGATCTTTGGTTTTCGCCACCCCCAATTGGGGGGGGGGGAACACATCCAGTCTCTTCTCTTCAAATCCAGAAGTGCTGCTCACCGAGACCCTTGTCAGTGGCTGACGTCAGTGGCTGAGGACCCCAATTCCACAGAGATGGAAGTTGGATACAAATTTGTTCCCTGGACTAAAGCAAAGTTCCCTGGTGTTTTGAAAGAAGCAGCAGCTCTGGATTTTATCCAGCTCTGTGGCTCTTGGGCTTCTGTAACTGGCCGTTGCTGATCTGAGCAGCCCCCTTCCAGGGTACGTGTAGAAGCCTGATCATGCCATTCCTGTCTGCTGATTAACTAAACATTTACCAATTGCTCAAAATCTGTCCCTCCTTGGCACTGGCTGGCCACAAGACGCAGCCCAATGTGGAGGCTGAACTGTAGTATATAAAATATCATCTGAATGATTCCCCTAAATCTGCCTGGGAACTGATTCCCCCAACAGGTGCGCTGTTCCCACTGTGTCCCTCGCAGCCTTAGGGAGAGGGCCCCCTGCAGCTCTGACAGGGGCCACCCTGGGAAGGCTGGCTGAGGGCCACTGCAATGGGGAGACTGTGTGCTGGAGTGATCCCTCCAACCAGCGTCTCATCTGCCTCCCTTTCTGGCTCTGGTGCCCTTTGCAGGTATCATCTCTGCAGCCCTGAGGCCTCCCCCCAAAAGACACGCGGCTCCCACTTGCTGCACCAGGGGCCAAAGCCCACAGGATCTGTTCCTTGTTGGCTCCAGCAGGAACTGTTTGCCCACCTTTCTTTCTGCTTTGAGCACCTGAGCAGAGGAGGCCTCAGAGCTCAATTCTCTGCCCAGGATTGGCACGACAGAGGCGTTAATTGCAGGCGAGCGCAGGTGTCTTTAGGCAATGGCAGGGACTGGGTTTGCCTGCCTTTCAGAGGTAGCCGATTTGAATCCCACCTCTCCTCCCAGATAGATTCAATGCAAAAGCCTTCTGTACATGCTCAAGGCCACTCTGTTGTCAGTGCTTTTTATGCTGGCTCATTCCCAAAGGATAGGATGACAGTTCCCAGAATTCATGCCTGGATGGGCTGCTGAGGAATTCTGGGAGTCAAAGTCCACCCATCAGATGGGGTGACTGCCTCTGTCACATTCAAGAAAGGCCCAGGTGAAGCTTTGAGGGCACTGGTGGTGCCACCTCTTTTGGGAGAGGCAGCCATGCCCCCGTCTTCGTGGCTTTTGCAGTGACTGCCTTTCTCCAAAGGGCATCGCTGCGTTGAGGAAGGAGCGTTTCTCAGCTGGCTCTACTTCGCCCAGCCTGGCAGCCAGATCTGGCAGAGGCTTCCGAAATGAAACCTTGAACTCAGCACCCCTGAAGAGCAAATAGCTCTTCTTCCTCCCCAGCCGGCTGGAACAGCCCCTCCCTCCCCTCCCCTTTGGGCCTGACTGCACTTTTGTCACCCTTCTCCCACGCCCCCCCCCCCCGATCAGTGGGGAGGGTGCCAATATTCCTGGGAGATAAGAAAAGTGCTGCTCCTGCCAAAGGGGCCGGTCAGCCAGAGAAGCCGTGGGCAGCCTGGTCAGAAGCCGCTGATCTTCTAGGGTGAAGCCATCGTGCAGCTGCAGCCAGGAGTGGAGAGGCTTGGGTGAGTCCTGCAACAGTTGGGGGTAGGGGTGAGGTCTCCAGGAGAAGGAGGGCTCCATCCAGAAGGGGACAGGCAAGCCACCATTCGACAAAGCCCCCCTCTTTGGTTTCCAAATACTTGAGGTACCTAAGAAGGAACTGACCTGACCACAAATGAAAAATTCTATGGTCTATATAGGATACCTTTGAAAGTGTTAAAGCAGAGAATTGCAAAAAAGAATATTTGAAAAGCAAGAAGCCCCTTAATTCTTTTCTTGGAATACTTTTTCATTAGGAGTTTTGCAGGAATGAATTTGTTTCTCCTTGCCTGGTGATGAGCAGAGATGGAGCACAGGGTCCCTCACCTGTAGGAGCTGCCTCCAGCTTTGAGTATGGACTGGCACAGAAGAGAAGCTTCTGGATAAAATTCTTCTAAGTCAGATCTTCAGTCCAAAGTTCATTTCTTATACAATAATCACTGAGGAATAGTTTTCAGTTCTTAAATGTCAGATGCAGATTCTTTTTATTTTATTGTATTTATTTTATTATTTATTTATTTTAATTTGATATCTATACAAATTTATATACTGCATTTTTACCGCAAACTGACAGTTGTGTGTCTCAGACCTGCAGCTGGTTTCCTATGAGGCTGCCTTGGGCAAAAGGGGTCAAATCAGATGGTAGACCAGAAGAAGCTTGTGGGCTAAGAAACCAAGCTTCAAAAGCAACCACTCATACACTCAACGAGGGTGTCTCTGAAGATGCTAGTCCTCACTGATTCAAGCACCTTCTGAGCCTCCCGCCCCAGTGATTCCGCTGGTCTCTTGAGACCCAGGGAGAATGTTGCTCCTGGGAACCAAACCCACAGAGTCCTGGGCCCGATATGCTCTGACCGTTTCAGCCCAATAAATCCCCCAAACCCTTCGGCCATGTGGAATCTTGGGGGCCACCGTTACAGCTTCAGTCTGGAGACACTATTGGGCCAAAGAAAGCAAAGAACGATTAAATAATTGCACGAGAAACTGGTCGTTGTACTCCCACACTATTGTGGGGTGCCTAGTAGTGCATATTTCAGCAGGGAGGGGAAGGATTCCAGGAAGGGGTACAAAGGGTGCAATTTGGAAGGGGCTTTTCTGCCCTGTTAACACAGTGTGTGTGTGTATCTGTGCTTTGACCTGCAATCAGCTCTATGCTTCTGCCCAGCACTATACTGCATAGAACTTCAAAAAAGGATGGATTTTATCCGATCAATATAGTAGTGGATGATGGGTGGTGGAGTGATCATCTCAGCAACATCTATGGAAATTCTCAGGTCATGGTTGTCCCAAAGGTGCTTTTTCAAGAGGCAACTGGACTTTCTTTGTTTTTGCTTGAAGACGTTTCGCTTCTCATCCAAGAAGCTTCTTCAGCTCTGACTGAATTCCCCACTATCCAGTCAGAGCTGAAGAAGCTTCTTCAAAGAAAAACCAGAAAGTTCAGTTACCTCTTGAAAAAAGCACCTTTGGGACATCTCAGCAATGCTGTGGCCAAAAATTGATTTTAGGTTATAGCCAAGAAGGTGAGTTTTGAATTGAATTTGAGCTTTGAAGACAAGTATGATTTTCTGGGGTTCTCTTATGCCCGTAAAGGCAACCGTGACCGTCATGGTCTCAACCACCGATTAGTTAATCCAGTCTTTCTCAACCTCGGCCACTTGAAGTTTGTACATCTTCAGTTGCCAAGATTGAGAAACAGTGAGGTAATCTCTCTGCCGTTATTTGCGATCCCATTCTAAGCAGCAGCTCATCAAAATCTCATCAGACTCTCTCATCCCAATTACATCAACCCGTCCCACCTAGTCAAGCAGGAAGGGCATCTGCGTATCCCGTCAGTCAAGGAATTTTGGCTGGTGGGTTCAAGAGGGAAGGTCTTCTCTGCTGTGGCCCTAACCCCTAACCCAAGAACATCTCACCCCCAGAAGTGAGGCAAGCCTCCACCCTTCTGGTTTTTGTGTTAAGACCTGGCTTTGCCGATTAGCATGGCATCTAAAAGTACGATGCAGCCCCAAGGATGGCTGGTGGCTTGATGACACCGCTGCTGCCTTGTGAACTTTTTGAATTTTTAACTTTGATCTTTATTTTTACTGCAAGTTTTAACTTGTTACTAATTCTGCTTTTAATCTGTGCTTTTGTGTGTTCATATGTTTTTGTTATGACGTTGTAAACTGCTCACTGTACCAATTAAAAAAACAAACAAACAAACAAACAAACAAACAAACAAACAAACAAACAAACAAACAAACTGGTCCTTGCCCAGCTGCCATTCAACAGCCGTGTTCACTCACTATCTTGCCTGGATTCTCCAAGTAACTCAACCTTCAAGTAGCACATTCAGCCCTTAATTGAAGACTTGAGCAGGGTTCATTCAGCACCCTAAACTAAAATGAGGCAGCTCCCTCTCTGGGTTGGTGTGAAGGGAGAACCAGGGAATCGTAGAGCCATTGGAGTCTTTCTCCCTGGAAAAGTCTACCTCTTTGGAGGCCTACAAATATGTGGCTTTAGGTTACAAATTTGAGAAAACAAATTTGGGGCAACCTTGGGGTGAACTCAGGCGCCCGTCCCAATTTTGTAATTTTTCAGTTGGCTGATTGGTTTCACCTTAGACTTCTGTGCTCTGTTCTTGGGGGAGGGAGAAAGAGAGAAGGAGAGGAAGAGAGAGAGAGAGAGAGAAAGGGAGAGCAAGAGAGAGCGAGAGAAGGAGACAAAAAAGACGAGATAGAAGAGAGACTGGAAAGAGAGAAGGTGACAGGGAAAAGAGAGAGGGAGAGGGAGGGATGGAGAGAGAGAGAGGAGAGGAGAGGAGAGGAGAGGAGAGGAGAGGAGAGGAGAGGAGAGGAGAGGTGAGATCTTCACCTGACCAGTCTGGCTGGCTGCAGTGTTGACAAGAGTGGGGTGGTTATGGGTTTGATTTCCCTGCCTGTTACCAGAGGTGGGTAAAGAGGACAATGGGGACACAGCTCTGCCAAAGCCTCACCCCACCCAGAACAAAGTGGCCTTGTGGGGAATGACAAGCGAGCCAGATTTAAGGCCCCATTGTCACATTCCAGGGTCAACCTCCACCCACCTCACCAGGCTGGCAGAGAACATGTTTGCATACCAGGGCATAATCTTTGTCTTCCAGAATCGGCCAGCCATGTCCGACGTGGAATTTGGACGGATGTCTTTCAAAGAGCCTGAGCAGGAGACCAAGCGTGGCCCGGCCCAGCCCCACTGGTATGAGCGCTACCTGCAGCCTTGCATCGGGGAGCTGGTGGGCTCGGCCTTCTTCATCTACATTGGCTGCGTTTCGGTCGTCGAGAACTCAGACGGCACCGGGAGGCTGCAGCCGGCCTTGGCTCATGGGTTGGCGCTGGGACTCACTATTGCCATCTTGGGGAATATCAGGTGAAGGAAGGGGCAGCTGGGCAGTTTGGCTTGGGGATGTGGTCACGTTAGCCATGAAGGAGCGATGGAGGAACAGGGGGTCAGAAGATCCATCCACCAGACCAGTGTTTCTCAACTGGGGCAAGTTGCAGAAGGGTGGACTTCAACTCCCAGCTTTGAAGTCCACCCATCTTGAACTTGCCACTGTTGAGAAACATTGATTGACAGGTCTGCAGTGTCAATCTTCTTCCTCTGCATTGCTCCTCCTTTAAATGGAGCCCCCACCTGGGATATTTTCTTTCTTTCAGGCATGTTTTATTGATTGATTGATTGACTGTATGGCATAATCATACATGGACTAGCAATATCTATTAATATTTCACCTAGATTAGTAAAACACAATAAAATGTAAAATGTTAAAAAGATCTATGTTCAAATACCAAGGGCTAGGCCAGCTCACCATTGAAGCAAAAAAATAAAAAAATAAAAAAATAAAATCAGATACTGGGCTGGTATATGCCCTCAGTTTAGAGCTGGTGAACATGTGATCTGCAGTTTGTTGTGGGACCTTGCAGTCACACTGAGGGGAGGATACGATGCCCCATTTATACAGAGAGGCAGGGCAGATGGCGAAGATCTACTTAAACAACAACTTACTCCCCTGTGATCGCCATCCAAAGTACCTTGGAGTAACACTGGACTGGACTCTCTCCTATAAAATACACCTAGCACAGGGGTGTCCAACGTAAGGCATAGGGGGCGGATTTGGCCCACGGGGTTCCTTAGTCTGGTCCACAGGGCCACCCTGGAAACAGTGAAGGACTGGCCCACAGTGCCTCTGCCAGGGAAAACGGACCTTGCAAGGGCCACGCACTGCCCTCCCGAGCTCCATTTTCACTGGCAGAGGATTGCAGGAGGCTGTCCCAGCCAAAAATGGAGCTCAGGAGCCCATTTTCGAAGGCAGAGCTCTTGGGCCGCCACATGTGACCCCCCCAACACGAGTTATGTCATGCTGGCCATGCCCACCTCGGCACCCCAAGATTAAACACAACCCTGATGCAGCCTGCAATGAAATAGAGTTTGACACCCCTGACCTAGAGAATATGATGACAAAAATCAATACTAGGAACATCATACTCCAGAAATTACATGGAACTAAATGGGGAGCTTCAGCTGCCACCCTCAGATCATCAGCGCTGGGCTCTTAAAAGTCAGGTTTCAAACAGAGTTTATCGAGTTAAACCTGCAGTCACCTTTGAGCCTTGATTTCACTTTTGTGAGTTTTGCTCCCTGCCAGCAGGCAACGGGGTGATGCAGTGCCCCTTTCCTGCCAGCTTTCCTCTGACCACAGATGCCTCTTTCCCACTTTCTGCCTGCAGTGGAGGCCACTACAACCCGGCCGTTTCCCTGGGGGCCTGGCTCGTTGGTGGGCTGAACATGGTGATGGTCATTCCATACTGGGTCTCCCAGTTGTGCGGGGGAATGATTGGAGCTGGTCTGGCTAAGGTATGGCGGAGGATTGGGAAGGGGGGAGGGGAGGGCACTTGAGGTATCAGGTAGCAGCCGTACAAGGTACACCAGACAGGAAGTATGACCAGATGAGCTAACTCTACTTTATTGTAAGATTACATTGATGAAATATTGCAACTCTGAATGTTCTGTACATTTTTTCCCTGGACCCTTTTACAGCCTAAGAAACTAGGGAGGGCCCCTTCTGAGATATTTCTCACAGCCACTTTCCTGCTCTGGGCTCCAACAAAGGCACTGTCCCCTTGGTTGTCGTTGCGCTGTCTCCCAAGGCCATTCACACATAACACCGTTGCAGATGGAGAGCAGAGGCTCTGGCAGATGTTGGGTGGTGCTCCATGCACACTCCCAGGTTTGGCTTATGGTCATTCACTCACAGCCTGTTGAGGCCTGTTGAGGCCTGCAGATTTTGCCACCTCCCCCCATTCCTTGCTTTCTACCTGGGCGAGAGAGGTGGGGCTGGAGCAGACAAGGCACAAAACCCTGGACAACAGCCAGGAAATAATTAAGGACACACACAAATCACTTTCAATGAACACTGAGGCACAATCGGTCCTCTGAAATACCCAAAGACCCGGTGAATTTAAAGGAACACCAACATTTTACTGTTTACAATATACATTTGCTTTTCCTCACACACATAGGCACACTCGGGCACATTTGCACCCATCCTCCTCCACTAGGCTGGCAGGCCCTAGCCAGAGGGACGGAAGCTGCCCAGTCTGGATCCAAAGATGACTCAAAGAGGGGGGTGGGTGGGCTTCAGGACCCCTTTTATCTCCCAAAGTCTTTCCCCCTGTGATTCACAAGACTGGCAGCTACTCTTGCTTTGTTTACTTATAAATTTGGTAGCTATTGAAGGGATTGGTGTGTGGGGGGGGAGGGGGAGTTACCACGTGCTCAACTTCCTTTATCTTGTTCAGCTGACATTTTTCCTTTGTTTTTTTTTTACCAACTTCTGTCTTTATCTACCTCCCTGAAGAATCTTTTAGATAACAGGTCTGGCTTTTTTCCCTCTCTGCTTCCATGGCTGCTTCATTTTTAGTTATGGCAACTTCAGTCCAGTCTCACAGGGTTTAGGAGGAGGTGTCTGACCCATGGCAGATCTCCCATGCAACCCCTCCCCCCGAAAAGAACCAATGAAAGCCAATATGGCTGGCGGAAAAGTGGATGTCTTGGCGGATGCTTGGCTCCTGAACACGTCCTTCCTGCTGACCCTCCTTAATTGCCAAAGGAGATGCAAGGAAGGCTGGGAGGTGGGATGTCTGCCTCCCTTTCCAGCTGTGGCTTCAAGTCCCTTCAACTGGAAGTCACTTGTTGCAGCCCTTCTGGATCAGGCCTTCCTCTCCAAGCCTTTGTAGGAGAACATCTCCGCCTCTGGTTCCAGGATGCTTGGGAGGCACCTGAAACTGCAAGCCTTCAATGGGAAGCCAAGGAGAAAGGCCAAGTGAAAACCCCAAATCTTTGTCTGGTGCTAAAACAGCCATTCAATCTCAAGGACCTCACATACTTATGAGCCCCCTATGTTAACCAGATGAGGCCTCAAATTTTCATAGGTTCTTCATATATTAATAGAGTTGGAAGGACCTTGGAGGTCTTCTAGTCCAACCTCCTGCTCAGGCTATACCATTCCAGACAAGTGGCTGTCCAGACTCCAATGATGGAGCATCCACAACTTCTGAAGGCAAGCCGTTCCCCTGATTAATTGTTCTCCCTGTGAGGAAATTTCTCCTTAGTTCTAAGTTACATCTCTCCTTGATAGGTTTCCATCCATCGCTTCTTGTCTTGCCTTCTGGTGCTTTCGAGAATAGCTTGACTCCCTCTTCTTTGTGGCAGCCCTTGAGATACTGGGCTACTGCTATCAAGTACTAATACTTCACATTATTTTGATTCTTTCCGTCAATGCAATCTAGGATTGCGCTGGCTTTTTTGGCCACACACTGCCGACTCATATTTAAGTCATTGTGCATTAGGACTTCAAGATCCTTCTCACAGTTACTGCTATAGAACCAGGTTTCTGTATGCTTGGTTAATCCAGGTTTATCAATCTGGGATAATCCCTCTTTGATGTCTTTCTCAGGTAACCACAGTGTGGGAGAGGTATGAAAATGCCACAGGAGGAGCTTTCACGGCCATCACCTCGGATCACCAGCTCCCAGCTGCTGTGGTGGGAGAGATTGTGATGACCATGCTCCTGGTGATGGCTGTCTGCATGGGGGCCATTAATGAGAAAACCAAGAGTCCACTGGCACCCTTCTGCATTGGCCTCACCGTCACCGTGGACATCCTGGCTGGGTGAGTTGGCCAGAGGTTCTGCCCAGGTCCAGGAGGAAGTTCTTTCTCCACCAATGCCTTCAAAAGCAAGCCCCGCCTCCTGGGTCGACATTCCCTCCTATTGAATTGGTTCTTAAAACTGTCCTTAAAAGGGGGAGCAGAGAGGCAGCCCTGGAAAGACCCAGTCTATCAAAATGCTTCCTTTGCCTGGTGCAACACCCATTCTGCTGCTTTGGGGCCAGGCCTGTACTTGATACCTATGCCGTGGTCCCCAACCCTTTTGGCACCAGAGACCGGTTTCATGGAAGAGAGTTTTTCCACAGACCAGTGGGGAGAGGGGGCAGGAGGAGGAGGAGGAGCACACAACTTGCAGACTCCGTTTACAGTAGGGTTTGCTGTGCAGCCCAGTTCTTACTGTGACCCGGGGTTGGGGACTCCTGCTTTATAGGGTTTTCAGACAAAAGGTTTTGACTTGGCTTGAAAAAAATGCAACCCATTGCCCCACAAAATTTGTTCCCTTTAATTAATGCTTAACACTCCCTTCCTCAAAACAAAAAAAAAAAAATCTGCCACGTCACATTACTACCTATTTGCGTGGGTCACCTCCCTCTCCATCCTCCTTCACTCCGCCTCCCCCTCCCAACAGTCCCAGGTGTTAACACATGCACAGGTTACCATGTGCCCTCCCTTCTCTACCTAAACCAAAAGGTCCGCTCTGGAAGGAAGAGCTGAAAAGACAGGCAGGTGCAGAGCTGGTTTCAAGATGGGTGAACTTGGAGCATTTCCACATCTCAGAACATTGATATAAAAACATCGGCAGATGTAAGAAACAACTGCGCACGTGCTCAGCACAACCAGGGAGAGGGAAGACTGGCGGCCATGATGGCTGAGCCTGAACCCTTCCCAACACCTACCGGAGTCAAGCCCCCAGAGTGCACTTGCTCCTTGAGGGATTAAGGTCCATTATGGAAGGCATTTAGCCTGTGGGAAGCACAAGGAGATAAAACTCGCCCTCATGAGCTTGCCTGGGCATCATCTGAAATCAGGGAAGGAGCCATTTGCAGCCCACATTTGACCCAGGAAGGAAGCAGCGTTGCCATCATTATCCACTGGTCAGCTCCTTTGTGAGGCTGCAGGGCCTCCTGACCTGCTGGACAGCTCCGCTGCCTTGCTGACGGACAGAGCCCTGTGGCTGGGGTGGGTGTGGGGACTTTAGGATGGGCAGAAACAGCTCTTCTGGCCTGCCTGGGGAGAACCCTGTCCCTGGCACTCTTTGCTACTAGGATCCAGGGTGCTGTCTGGGTAGTTGGGCCATTCACGTCCAGAAGCATTCAAACTCAGTCTCTCTCCAGCACCACTGAGGCTTTGTCTGGAGGAGGTTTCAATCCCGTCCCACCTGCAATCAGGGAGAACTCCCACATCCATCAATTGATAAAAGTGAGAAAGAGAGCCAGCCAGGGATGGCCATTATGTGCTTAAGCTGCAGTTCAGCTGCTAAGTAATTTTTCCCAGCTGTTGTCGACAGAGATCAGCAAGCGGAGGGAAGAGGGTAGCCTCCAAGGAGGGGTCCTGGAATCCCTGGCTGGCTCTCTTCCGGATTTTGGCTCAGCTGATAGACATGGCCCATTGCCCAGAGGCATCTTCCCTTGCAGATCCATGTCAGGGTATGTGTCCCCCTCCCCCCTGCCAAAATTGTTGGTGCCTCACAGCAAAATCCCGGGGAACATCTGCTTCTTCTTTCAGAATAACAGAATAATAACATGACAGTTGCCCACTCACTGGCCTGAGGTGGGGGTGGGGGGGTGTTTCTGTTTCTAGCCATCCAGAAAATACATCTCGCCCTGCAGTGCTTGCCTGCTGCTTGTCTAAAGACCAATTGAAGCCCCGCCTGCAGCAGCCCTTCCCCTTCCGAAGACCTTCGCTTGTCCCTGGAGGCTCCTCTCCTGGTTCTTTCAATGCCACTTCAATGTACAGCAAGGAGACTTGAATGTGGTTGGCCTCCTGGCCCAACCGGAATTGGCCTCGTCTTGGTCAATGCCTTGGGGGGGGGCGTTAGTATCACCAATTAACTCTGACTCAGTGAGGATAAAAGGGGCCGCAAAGAAGAAGTCTCTAGGGCAGTGTTTCTCAACCTTGGTAGCTTGAAGATGGGTGGACTTCAACTCCCAGAATCCCCCAGCCAGCGCTGCTGGCTGGGGGATTCTGGGAGTTGAAGTCCACCCATCTTCAAGCTACCAAGGTTGAGAAACACTGCTCTAGGGGAATTCTTTGCCCAGAATGGAGAATCCCGAAGCCTTGAAAACATTCCTGGGAGCGGCGGTTTCATTCTGTCAATCTTTCTTCTCTGTTCAGGGGAGCCGTTTCTGGAGCCTGCATGAATCCGGCCAGAGCTTTTGGCCCTGCAGTGGCTGCCAACCACTGGGACTATCACTGGGTGTACTGGGTGGGCCCCATGGGGGCTGCGCTTCTGGTGGCTGCGTTGATAAGGTACGTGGCAGGTTTTCAAGGCCTTCCGGAATGCCCTGGGGAGGGGGAGCTGGATGGGTCTGGAGGGGGGGGACCTCATTCTAGAGGGCAAATGCCACTTCAAGGGGTTGCCCGGCTGGGCTAGTTGGATCCTTGGCTTGATTCTGGAGCGGGACTCAGGAATTAATTGAGTCTATCAGCATCAATTCCTCAATAATAATCAATGGAACATGTTAAAGGGTCCCTGGTTCAATAAGAACGAGAATGAGGAAGTGTTTGGTATGCAGGAAGTCCCACATTCAGTCCAAGCCAGGCCAGGAAAGACCCCCCTCCCGAGAACCGAGTCAGTGTCATCTTGGCCGATGTCAGGAATGGATGCCTCAGGGCTGCCTGTTGCCTCTCATCTGCTTCTGTTTGGTCTCCCAAAGTTTTCAGTGTGACAGAAGGCATAAATAAGACAACACGTGGGAAGTAATCACATTTGTTTGTAATTAATCTAATTGCAAGTATGTTTAGAAGTGACATGTGGTTTTGCTTGACTATGCCAACTTTTTTGAATCTGGCCCCTCTGGGTGCCATTCAAAAGCCAGAGGTGACCCTGTGCCAATGCTGATCATGGGGACCTTGTCCTGACATCCCCATAATTCTTTCACTGTCATTCCATCACCAAGGTTCTTCCTCCCTGGTGCTTAATGAGAAACAGGGAGAGGCAATATCTGATCTTGGTATCATAAACTAAACAGGCAGGCTAGGTTTGTGCAGCAGGTTTAGCCATAAATGATATTCAATCAAGGGTAATGTGAAGTAGGTTCAGTATAAACCAGGATTAATGTAAGCTATGTTCAGCATGGAAAAGGCAGAATAACAGAATAGAGTTGCAAGGGACCCTGGAGGTCTTCCAGTTCAACCCCTTGCTCAGGCAGGAGACTCTATACCATTTCAGACAAATGGTTGTCCAGTCTCTTCTTAAAAACCTCCAGTGTTGGAGCATTTACAACTTCTGGAGGCAAGTCGTTCCTCTGATCCATTATTCTCACCATCAGGAAATTTCTCCTTAGTTCTAGGTTGCTTCTCTCCTTAATTAGTTTCCATCCGTTGCTTCTTGTCCTGCCTTCAGGTGCTTTGGAGAATAGGCTGACCCCCTCTTCTTTGTGGCTGCCCCTCAAATACTGGAAGACTGCTATCATGTCACCCCTGGTCCTTCTTTTCATTGAACTAGACACAACCCATTTCTTGCAACTGTTCTTCATGTTTTAATCTTCAGCCCCCTCATCATCTTTGTTGCTCTGCTCTCCAGTCTTTCCAGACTCTCAACATCTTTTAAAGGCTTGACTTAGAGATTATATAAGTGGAAGGGATTTGGTTTCTGGCATTATGGTTTGAGTTATTTGGATGTTGGATTATGGCACATCTCTTGCACCTTATAAGGGCTGCAGAAATCATGTCTGGCCAAAGCAGAGTGAGCTTGATTAGGACGGTGCTTAAGTAGAAGGCAAAACCAGGAAGCAGCTTGAGATGAGATGTGTGTCTTGCTGAAACCGAAACTCCTCAATCACTCAGTGAAAACTCAGAAAGAACATTGTCTCCTAAAGCCACACCCTTCATTGTCTCTCCACCAACGGCCAGAGCACGAAAGATAAACAAGATGAGCTCAGATCTTTTGGAGCAAGACAAACATAGGCACAAGAAAAGACAATTCCAGGACTGGAACAGAGCAAAGGGAAGATATAATTTGCTCAAAACTGAAGGAGGAGATGTGTAGGATGTCAGAAATTTCAGAATAAGAGAGTTGGAAGGAACACTGGAGGTCTTCTAGTTCAACCCCTTGCTCAGGCAGGAGACTCTATACCATTTCAACCTCTGCTCAAGCAGGAAACCTCACACCATTCTGGACAAATGGTTGTCCAATCTCATCTTAAAAACATCCAGTGTTGGAGCATTCACAACGTCTGCAGGCAAGTTGTTCCACTGATTAATTGTTCTCTCTGTCAGGAAATTCCTTAGTTCTAGGTTGCTTCTCTCCTTGATTAGTTTCCACCCATTGCTTCTTGTCCTGTCCTCAGGTGCTTTGGAGAATTAGCTTGACTTCCTCTTCTGTGGCAACCTCTGTGATATTGGAACACTGCACAGTCATATGAGCATCTCAAAGAGCTTTCATCAGAAGTGGATCTCTGGAGGGGCACCATGAGGTTCATTCCTGGATTCTCCGTTGATTAAAGATAAAGAGGGGGACAGGAAAATGGGTGGGATAACTATTAATACACTGCCCCCAAGTTCCACAAAATGCCATTTAGAGGGGTATCATAAACAAAACTCAAGATTGCAATGCACAAAAAAACAAAGATTTGACTGCACCGCTGTGGATGCCATCTTGACTTTTTTGACCACATGCTGCAGACACCTTCAATCCTTTAAAAAAGCCTCTTTAATGAAAAGAAGAACTGGGGGTGACATGATAGCAGTGTCCAAATATCTAAGGGTCTACCACAAAGAAAAGGGGGTCAACCTTTTCTCCTGAAACATGGATGGAAACTAATCAAGGAGAGAAGCAATCTAGAACTAAGGAGAAATTTCCTGACAGAACAATTAACCAGTGGAACGACTTGCCTCCAGAAATTGTGGGTGTCCCAACACTGGATGTGTTTAAGAAGAGATTGGACAGCCATTTGTCCAGAATGGTATGAGGTTTTCTGCTTGAGTAGAGGTTGGACTAGAAGAAATCCGAAGTCCCTTCCAACTCTGTTATTCTGCCTCAATGTGGAAGGGCTGCAGAGAAGGGCAGCAAGGAGAAATGCGGTTCTAGAATTGAGACTGCAGGATCAGGAAGGTTCAGCCAGAAGCTCTCAAGTGGAGAAGGTCTCGAGTGGAACTGCTGCGGCTCCTTCCAGCTTTCTCCCAAGAGTCCTCCAGAGCCGGTCTCTCCTCTCTCTCCTCCTCTAGGATAGGATGCTATGGCGGTCAGCTGCCAACCCCGGCAACATGTGGGGGGGAATAGTCCTTTGGGTTGGACACCTCTGCCAAAAACTGGGCTTTGGACAGCATCAACCCTTTAAGAGGGGCCTGTGGGGAGTTTGAAGAGGAAGCAAGCATGGCGTCCAGCAGGGGTGTTGGCAACCTTGGCAACTTTAAGGCTGGTGTTCAACTCCCAGACACCCAGGCTATACAGGCTGCCCCCTCCCCAGAGAAAAAGCAGGGCCCGAAAAGCCCAGGGGAGCGCGGGGGGGGGGCTGCCTCCCGCAGTGTGAACGCCTCTCACGCCTCGCTCCTTCCTCCTTCCAGGTTCTTGATCGGGGACAGCAAGACGCGCTTCTTCCTCAAGTGAGGCGCCCTGCAAGGACCACCGCCTCGCCTTCCCCGCGCGACCCCAGGCAGCCGCAGCCCTCCTGGCCCGGGGAAGAGACTGGCAGAAGCGAGGCTCCGCCAAGCGCTCATGTTGGCCCCTGAAACACGGGGCGATGCGATTTTCCCCTTTCATGGTTGCAGATCTAGGAAATTCTGCCTCCCCCTTTTTGGAAACGATGCTCGAAGAAGGCCGAAGAGGGCGAAGAAGAAGCGGCGGCCCCGGCAGATCCACGGGCCGAAGCGGGGAAGCCGTTCTCGGAGGAGCTCCGGGCGAAGCGGCCCTGGGCAGCCCCGGGTCGAGCAGCGGCCCGCAAACCAGGCCCGGCGCTTGCAGGCCGCTCGCCCGGCACTCCGCCAGCCCCATCCGGAGCCCCGGCGAGGAAGCCGCTCCTCGGCTTGGCATCTCCGGCGGTGGCGCTCCGCAGGGGGACCTCCGGGCCACGCCGCCTCCGCGCAGCCCCACAGCCAGGATCCCGTCTGCGAAAGGGCTGCTTCGCCCAGCCGAGTGGGAGGAAGAGCCGGGCTCTCGTGGCGACGCTGGGGGCTCTCGGGGCACCTTGGCCAGACTCAGAGACATCCAGCCGCTCTCGTCGGCTCTTCCCAGCGGGGCTTCCCATCCCCAGAGAGCGGCCATTCCCCCCGTGGACCCGAAGCCCCTCCGCCATTGAGCGGGGCTGCGCCTCCCAGCCCTCCCGTGCCTCGAGGGGCCGCCCCGCCCGTTTTTTTAAAAAAAATTTGATTTATATGCCGCCCTTCTCCGGAGACTCAGGGCGGCTTACAATGCGTTAAGCAATAGCCTTCATACTCTTGTATATTTATACAAAGTCAGCTTATTGCCCCCACAAACTGGGTCCTCATTTTACCCACCTTAGAAAGGATGGAAGGCTGAGTCAACCTTGAGCCTGGTGAGATTCGAACTTACAGTAATTGCAGACAGCTGGTGTTAATCACAATGCTATCAGTCTGCTGAGCCACCAGGTTTGGCCCGAGATGCCCCCCAAACCACCGCGCTGGTCCCAGGCCTTGCAGGGACATCCCCTCCCAGCCGCTTCCCAGGCCCGCAATCCCCCACCCCTAATTCCCTGGGACGGGGCACGGTTCTCTCACGGCCCCTCCGGCTGTCTCGCTCCCGCCCCGAGGATGACCTTTCCCCGTCCTTCAAGCTGCGCTACGCGGAGATCCCGGCCCGGGCTGGGCTTTGACCGGCAATCGCCCTGCCCGGAGCTCTGGCTGCACTGCGCTTTGCCTTGCGGGATGGGGAGAAGGCTGGATGGATCCCGAGATGCACGCAGCCCTCGGGGGGGGCTTTCGGTTTACGACCCGGCTCCAAGCAAAGGCCGTGGCGCTCTGCGGCTGGTTAAGGGGACGGCCCCACTGGGTCTTTTCCTGCCGCCCCGCCAAGGACTGAGCCAGTGGCTGCACAAACCTGAACACAGAACTGGAGGCAGACAATGGGGACACGTCTTTCTGTCCTTGGACACCAGCGAGGGAGGGATTGTAGAAATTGGGGTGATACATTGAGCCTCAAATTAGCTCCTGCCTGCGGTGGATGGGTGTCTTACTATCCCCCTATTAGGCAAGCACCGGTTGCCTAACCATTATCTATTGAATTAACCACAGATTGTTGGGTTAAGCCACTCTGTTGTTTGGTTGGTTTGGGGTCACTGCCTGGGTCCCCCCCCATTGTTCAACCCATCCTCTCCCAAGCAGATCTACAGCGGTGTCACACTTCTGGAAATGCTAGCACAGCATGCTATGATACCCTGAGCCTGGGGTCACAAACCACTAGAATAAAGTGAAAACCAAGAAAAGCGCACAAATGTAGTGGCCCTTAATGTGATCTGCTTATTTTGATGTTTTCCCTGGAGTAGGAACACAGCTGTGGGTGGCTAATTAAGTACAGTTTGTGGTTTAGCATGTCTGAGCAGCTCCATGCCACCAGGGTTGCTGACATCTGGATGAAAGAGGACGTTTTCCAGATTGCTTGGCTGCCATCTGGGACTTTGTCCTCTCACCCCCCCTCCCCTCGATTTCAGGATCTGCAAACCATCCCGATGTTGGGAGCCCTTCATGGGGGTGGGAGGGGGGCTGCGGATAAGCTGCAGCATCTCAGCGCTCCCAAGCAACAGACCACCGCAGCCGTGATGGATGGGAGCCCTTCAGTTGCTAGCATAGAAAAGCTCTGTGCTTCCCAGCAGCTTCAAAGTTCACATTGTGTCATCTGGCAGTTGGAGGAACTTACTGGGCTGCAGCTAATTGTTTGTTCTCTGAGCTTTTTCAATCAATCAAGAAAGCAGGAGGAGCCCTCTTATTAATGCAATAAGAATAAGGTGACCCTTATCTTAAGACTTGGCCTTATCTGTAACATGGCATATAATCACCTAAGGGAAGTGTTGTTGACTGCAGTATGAGGCAATAAACTTTTATCTCAGCTGGCTAATACAGATGTTTCATTAATAAGCGGTGCTAAACTGTCAGTTGCTGGATCGAGGCTGCTGGTGCGTAGCCACAGAAGACAACCTGCCCGCGTGGGAGGCAGTGTGTGTGTGGGGCTTCTACTTGCAGTGGATGGCAGGCAAAGGAGGAAACAGAACTTGTAGGAAGGAGAGAGGGCTGCTGATGGAAAGAAGGTTCTAGAGCAGAGGGGGGAGGCCCTAGTTATTTTGACTAGGGTGGGGGACTAGAGCTATTTCCAAGAGGCCTCCAAGGATAGTGGATGAGTAAAAAAGGGCTTACCAACTCAGCTTACAGTTTTCTAAACAGATGCTTCATTTTTATGTTCTGGAAGTATTCATCAAGAATTCTTTGCCGCTGTATAGCATGAAGGATAACAGAAGAAAGGCCTTTTTATCTGCACAAACTCTGAATTGCTTTTTAAGAGTGTGCCATGACTGAGAAGTGTGCAAGAGAGAGTAAAGGCAGAGTGGGAAAGAGAGAGAATCCTTAGCAAGCACAAGGAGCTCATTGACACATTTACACATTTTGCTCAGCTGCGATGGAAACGAGGAATGCTTGCTTGTAGCATTGTAGGTTTGTGTGAACTGACACACTGTGGTTGATTGATGGCTTTCAGTAGAAGTCAAACCCAACTCTGTGGTTTGTCCACTAAATCACGATAAAACAAACTGTGCCTTAATGCAAGTGATTTATTTGTAAGGTTTGTTGAGGGAAAGAAAGCCACAGGTTTGGAATCATTGGCTGTCTGCATAATATAAAAGGTGAAGGAGTCCCTGCAGATTTTACTCTGCTAGTTGTTGCCGACTCTAGGGGGCGCTGTTCATTTCTGTTTCAAGACCATTGAGCTAACGCTGTTGAAGGCATTTCCGCGGTCATGTGGTCAGCATGATGTCACAGAGTGCTGTTATCTTCCCACCATAGTGGTACCCATTTATCTACTCTCATTTGCATACTTTCAAGCTGCTAGGTTGCCAGGTGCTGAGGTGAGGATGGGAGCTCACCCAGTCGAGTGGCGCTTGGGTCTCGAACCTGGGCTGCCGGCTTTCCAGCTGACCAGCCCAGCATCTTAACCACTGAGCCACCACACTACCCCCATCTGTATAATATGCTGGGCTAAAAACTCTGGCCACCATACCCAGCATTGCAATTTCATCCAAACTGGAGACTGACCTTGGTTTGGGGGCTCCAGAGACTGTCCCACAGGCTTGCTAAAAAGTTGGAGTCCTTGCTTTGGGATGCTGAAAGAAGTGCAGCTGTTCTGAGGTCAGACAACCTGCAAAGCTCCACGAATAAGGTAGGGTTGAAAGGCTGCTGCAGAGAGCTGCTTAACGGAATGCATTGAATGCCCAGGTCTGCTGCAGTGGGAGATGATGGGCCTTCAGCTCCTGAGTGATTTAGAGTTTAAAACCATTCTTTGAGTTGGGGTTGGAGGGCCCTGGCAGAAACAGGTGGCCTGGTCTTCCCTAGACCTGAAGGTGTGAAGCTGTCAGTTCTCCCACATCGCAGCCCATACCCTTAGTTGAGACCCTATCTCCAGTCAGTCTAGTAGCACTGGACACAAGATCGGTTCCCATTTCTTCAGTCTTGTCCTTCCCTTCTTTTGTCTGTTTACACACCACAACTGAGGGAGATCCCACAGGGAGGAGCTTCACTTGAGGTTTTTTTGGGACTGCATCTTCAAAGCATTGCCATGGCAACCCATCTTGCCAGCATCTTCCTACAGCCTGTCCTCATTATTAGGAAGGGTTGTCCCATTTTTCTCTCGGTGTGTCTGAAACGATTTTTGCTTTCTTGGAAAGAGATCCAAACTAGAATTGTCCTTGCAAATCATTACATAAAAACAAGGAAGCCGTGGGAGACATCAAGGGTTCCACAGCCCACTAAACAACAATTCTGCATCTGCAACTTGATCCCCCCCTGGGAGACTGGAGCACCTGCCAGCGCTCTTAAATGCTCTTTTCATCTTGCCCAACACTATGTTTATCCATCAACCTGGAGACACAGAGAGCTGAAACTGCAAAGAGGAGCATTGCAGTTAAAAAGGAAATTGTCACCAATGCCTGAATGAATGAACAAGAAAAGACAACTCTAACCCCCAGAAGACAAGAAAGACAACCAGGAATATGTCAGGTTCTTTCAGGTAGCAATTGGTTTTTAGAGCTTTTAGCAGGCGACCTTGGCTCTCCATTAGCTTTAGGAAGGGCGTCTCTGCCTCAGGTTGAAAGGCAACCAGCCAGCCAGCCCAAATTAGGTGTGTGGCTCACTCTCTCAGGGAAACCTATAAAATTTTATTTATTTTTTGAATTTGTATACCGCCCTTCTCCCTGAGGACTCAGGGCGGTGAACAGCCAAATAAAAACATCAGATACAAATATTAAAATACAGTTAAAAATATATATATATAAATTTGGCCCCATTAATTAAAACAATAAACCAAACAATTAAAAACACTTAAAAAGAATTAGGCCAGCCCGGCTTGTTGGAAAAGGAAGGTTTTAAGGGCACGGCGGAAGGCACTGAGGTCTTGGATTCTCCTTATCTCTGGGGGCAACTGATTCCAGAGGGTAGGAGCCCCCACAGAGAAGGCCCTCCCCCTGGGGGTCACCAGCCTGCATTGTTTGGCTGATGGCACCCCGAGGAGGCCCTCTCTGTGGGAGCGCACGGGTCGATGGGAGGTCGTCGGTGGCAGCAGGCGGTCTCGGAGATAGCTAGGCCCTATGCCATGGAGCGCTTTAAAGGTGATAACCAACACCTTGAAGTGCACCCGGAAGACCACTGGGAGCCAGTGCAGCTCGCGCAGGAGCGGTGTTACATGGGAGCGCCATGCTGCTCCCGTCACTACCTGCGCTGCTGCGTTCTGGACCAGTTGGAGCCTCCGGGTGCTCTTCAAGGGGAGCCCCATGTAGAGAGCGTTGCAGTAGTCAAGGTGAGAGGTCACAAGGGCGTGAGTGACTGTGCACAGGGAATCCCGATCAAGAAAGGGCCGCAACTGGCGGATCAGGCGAACCTGACAAAAGGTCCCCCTGGTTACAGCCGTCAGATGTTCCTCCAAGGACAGCTGTGTATCCAGGAGGACTCCCAGATTGCGAGCCCTCTCTGTGGGGGCCAACGACTCGCCCCAATAGTCAGTGATGGAGTCAACTGACTATATCGGGATGCCGGGAACCACAGCCACTCAGTCTTGGAAGGGTTGAGCCTGAGCCTGTTCCTCCCCCAAATGGACTTATAGTTCATTTTGCCGCCAGAAGTTGTGGCTGTTCCAACACTGGAGGTTTTTAAGAAGAGACCGAACAACTGTTTGTCTGGAATGGTATGGGGTCTCCTGCTTGAACAGGAGGTTGGACTAGAAGACCTCCAAGGTTCCTTCCAGCTCTGTTATTCTGTTCAATGGCACCAGGGAAGGTGTCCTGCAGGCAAAGATGGTGGTCCCTGAGATGCTTCTCGTGTATCGGGTCTTCTCGCTGGGTTATCCCCACACAGAGCCTGGATTCCGGAAGGCAGCCTGTATGTCTTAAGGGGCCCTTGGAGGAGGCGACTGCCGGCACTGATTTCTGCTACAAAAGAGATTGAAAAGGGGATCATCCGGTTTCCCCAAAGTTAGGAAGATCTGAAATCAAACTGAGGGAGATCTGCCTGGCCACAGACCTGGGGTGATCAAGCAATGGGTGAAGGGCCCCCAGTTGAGCACTGTGAGAGGCCTGAAACGACAAGGTTCACAGTTATAAGGCGGAGGCTGGGAGGAGTGGCTTACTCGTTGCTAGTGGTCCAATTGAAAAGGGTGCCAGCCAGGCAGTGGTGATGGCAAGGGCACCTGGCTGGGACAGGCTGAGTAGCTCATTGTCCTCGCCATTCAGGACTTTCTAGAGAAGCTGGATGTTGCTGCAGTGTTGACTCTCCAGTGGCACCTTTGCATGTAAGGATGCTCGAGAGAAGGACCTGGACTGCCCTGGGAAAGCCAGTTTCCTGCTCACCAAGGGCAGGCCTTTCGCTTGGCCAGCTGGACCCAGGCCTTCCTGGCTGACGTAGTCAACCCTGAATTGCAAGATGGCAAGAATTCACCTAGCAGAAGTAAAAGGGCAGCAATAGGACACCCCCCACCCCATTTCCATTGTTGTCAACAAAGGGAAAGAAGACATTAGACAGCCTTTAGGCCTGGGAAGAAAGCCCCCCCCCCCTGCAGCTCATTTATGCTGGTTGTTGCAGCCCATCAGGAAAGGCCATTGAAGGTGCCCCAAAGGAAGCAGCTCCTCTGCATCTGCCCCAGCTGTGCCAGCCAATTCTGTGCTGGGAGCAGATGTGCTTTCACAGAAAGATCAGGCTGTGCCTGTGTGTTGGGGTGCGGGGAAGCTGAGTGCGAATTCCTTGGATGGAGAGAGGTCCACAGAAGACCACGAGTGTGTGGCATTCTCAGAAACTGTTCAGATGCCTCTGAGGTATTTACCTGGTCAGGACTAGAGCAGCTGCAGGTTGTCAGCATTCCAAGCGATGCACCCATAGAAAGCAGAACTCTGAGGCAGGCGCATTCCTCAAAGAACAATTTCCTGGATACATCCTATTGGCACAACTGGTGAAAGCCGACTGAAGGTTCCTATGGCTTTCACCTTATTAAAAAGTAAAAGTTTCCCCTTTCCCCCAAGTCCCTGGTCACGCTGTCCAATCCAGGTGCTGGCCAGTTGCTTGTTACTTTGCTCCTCCTCTGGCCAGCCACCTGTGAGAATGTCCTTGGTTCCCACAGGAAAACTTTATTGTTTTGGCTACAAAACCCCATCTAACTATCTCGCCCCCCCCCCGCCGGTCCCTTCTGCTTTGTGGCAACCCTGAAGCCTCCAAGATGGCCACAGCCAGGTTCACTTCAGGGTTGACACAGGTGATGGAGAAGTCTCTGGGGAAAGTCTGCAATCTGCCTTCGAAGATGAAGAATCTGCTTCAAATACCCCCATCCCAATTTACCATGGGCAATTTCTTCCCCATTCTTGACAGGCC